CCCGCATCGCCACCGACACCCGCTAAGCGCGCCGCGTCGCCGGCCGCCCACGCGCGATTTCGCTTTCCAAGCGGCCGTTGTCCTTGAGGTTGCCAACCTCAATTGACGAAAATCAGCTCATCTAAAAAGACGAATTTAAAGAAAAGCACAATTACAAAGAGCGGTTGCTCTTAAGGTGAAATTAATGAAATTCATGGTGAAATTTCATAATGAGTTTTAAATAAAACAACGCAATATTAACTTCTGTATCAAATCTTACATTATGCTGTACATAACTGCTGACAATACGATTGTATACAATACTAATTTGCATCTATTTTTACAGGTAAGAAGCGATGCAGTTTCAACACGTGGCACTGACATCTGGGTGAGTTAAGGATTATATATCTAAGGAAATGTAATTTTTCAATTAGTACAAGAAATATTAATTTATTTAATTATTCTGTGATAGTATTTTAGAACTATATTCTTGTGTAGGCTGTAAGGATAAGAAGGATTTTGATCTTCAAATATGTGCCTAGGAAGTAATCAAAGTTGCCGAACCATATGCAGCAAGGTTGCAAATAGCAAGAAAAATACAATATTACGCCATCTCTCTTGCAAGATTCAAACTACAACATTAATACGCGAAGTGTAAGCGTGAATGAACGATAGCAGGTGCAAGATAATGTTATCCAGGCAAGCGTGACGTACAAGCTGTTTACGCGTAAAAAAGACTGACACTGAATCACCTTCCAAAACACTGAAGACCCTTGAACGCTACAAAACAAATTCGACTTTACAATTCAATTTGTGTATTCAGTAGACGAAAGAGACGATTTTCGATTGTGTGACATAGCTCTGGAACGCAAAATATCAATGTCTCTCTATAATACTGTCAAAAACATCTGAAATTCGGGAACGCCCTAACTCTGCTAAAAACGCAACCACATTTTCAGGAGTGTGTTGAATCCCGCTGCTAAACAAAATGCAAAGGATTTTACTACTACGTCTCGGTTGAATGAAACAAAAAGAAAGAAAAACAAACAAACTAATCACTTAAACGCACAAAACCCAAGCTCTACTAATCATGTCGTCTGCTTCATCGACACAAAAATGAGAAAGAAACGAGGCACCTATGCGCACTAAAAAATGAAACGCCGCTCAAATCATCTGCTACTTCATGACTGACAGAAACCTATAATCGAAACTAGACACCATACTTAGCAACCCGGAAACAAAGTCAGCTATTTCTACACAGAAAAGAGGAAGAAAAAAATTCCCAAATTGCATCAAAAGCTAACCCCGTTAATCTCAAAACAAACCATCAAGCAATACTTCAGTCGTAAAATGTACACTGTCAGAAATTTCCGCATTACTTTAATGTAGACTACGTTAAAGTAATTATCATGAATGCACATTAAATTTAATGTACACATGCACGTTAGGTAAATCAAAACTCTAGGGTCGTATCTGGAAGGGAGGAATGCATGATCTTGATGGACTGATTATTATGAATATACGATATGAATGATGAGAGGCAGGGGGAACTGGGTAATTTCTACATTAAATCTACACTTATTTTAACTTGTGCATTGAATTTAATGTACAATAATATTAATATTTGCTTAATGTACATGGTTACATTAAGTTGCATCTACAATAATCTACATTCAATTTAATGGCATTTGTGCCAGTGCAGCGTCGCGAGAGAGCCGGCCGGCAGAACGCTGAAGCGCGTGGGCTACCAAGCGAGTCAAGTGCGAATGCGCAAGTGCAAACAAAATTCGCTTACTACCACGTCACAGCAGAACGAAATGAAATAAGAAATAAATGATGAGTGAAAAACATTCTTCGTTCACCGAAAAAAAAGCAGTTTGCTACCACGTCAGTCTCACGTAACGAATCGACGTAGAAACTATGTACCAAAACGCACCAAAACCAAACGTCATTGTCACGAGTTTGCGTGGCGATGCCCCGTTGGGGAGGCTAGTGATGGCAAACACCACTACCGCCTGAGATAGAACATCCACTTCACACCTACGTGATAATGGACCACAGCAGATGACGTTCCCGGAAACCAAACCAAAAAAACAAAAAAAAAGAAATCAATCACTGAAACGCCATTGGGCCGCAACCATCTGGCGCAAACGCCGGCCGGCGCGACGAGGCCGCGGCGCGGCGCGGCGCTGGCGCGCACGAGCCGACGAGCGCGAACGCGCATGCGCGGACGCGAAACGCGCGCGGGCGCGAGGACAAGGCCTTGGCCGCCGGCCCGCGGCGGCGTCGGCGAAGGCCGCGCGCGCGGCAACTGCGTCGCGTCGCGTCGCGCGCGCGCGCGCGCACGCCTGCCTGCTTCCACCGCCGATTAGCGCGCCGATGCGCCGCTGGCTGGCGGTGGGAGTGCGGCGCGTGCGGCCAAGGACGAGGCGGACCCCTTGAGGAGCCCTGCGGCGTCACCGCGGAAGTGCAGTCCTGCCTGCGCGCCCCCGCGCTCGGCTGTCAACACACTGCTTTGCGCTGCGGCCGGGCGGGTGTTTGTGCTCCTCGGTTGATATCGCGTCTCGGAACGTGGAGTTAAAATGTGATTAAAACCTGGGTTGTAAGTAATGTTCAACACCTTCCCCGGTGTCAACTGCGATAATAGTTTCTACAGAACTGTTTCTACTTCCCTTTTTTAGCGTTAAAGCAAATGTGGCTTTGTGTTTACGTTTACGACACATATTATGGAATTTTTACCTCATCTCATGGCTGGTGTGTATCTCACCAAATGAATTATGCGTTGGCTTACATTTGCAGTATGGTTGTAGAGGTTGTTGTAAATTTTTGCCTAATCAGTGAGGTCAACCACTGCTTTTACTTGTGAAAATTAATCATGACACGAGAGTGATACGTTCGCTCCCAGTGTGCGGTCGTGAAGTGTGAGAGGGCGTGGGAGGAGAGACTTCGAGCGCCTGCACTTTTGAATCGGGCTGGAAATAGAGTGGCACGACGAAATAAACTCACGCCAGGAAATTCGAATTCCTCCGGGCAGGAAGCACAGACGAAGTCTGGGGAGCGGATTCTCTTCTGGACTGAGCGCGGGACGGGGAGCACCTGAGCTCCGAACTGCCGCCCTCGGCCCCGCCCCTTTCGCGACCGCCGCCCACGCCTCCGCCGCCCTCGCCCGCCGCCCTC